CATCATCAAATCAGTATACATATGTATATTCTTGATTTACTTTCTCAAAGAGGAAATAATTTTGATAAATTAAATCTGAAAATTGTAGTGTAAAAGCACAAAAATATAAGAACATTACAATATATCAATATTTTTTAAATAGAAGCCACCTCTACTAATTTCACTCCAGTTTTGTGTTATGGCTGTAGTATGTTTAGTAGAAGTATTTATGTATACGTGGCCAGCAGAATTTTTGATGCGTACGGTAAATTACTTGTCATTCAAATTTACTATTTTATTTTGTGCTATTAATTGTAATTTTAAAAATATTTATTATTTTTCCCCAGAACTATGAGGTCGGACATGTAGCATTCAATTTACTCGAAAACAATCATTTGAGTAATTTCATTCAAATATGGCAACGTCTGCAATTTATTATAATGCGATGTCAAGAACCTATAATGGTTTCAATTCCTTGTCTTATGCCGAAACTATCTTTTGATTATTTTGCAAAAGTAAGATCAAATTTTGAATTGATTTGAAAAAAAAAGATTAAAGATACTAATACACATCATCCTTATTACGTATTTAGCATCATCAGAAACAATTCCATATTTTTGCAAGTTTTCTATTAATATTTGTTTTCATTATTACTAAATATTTAAACTATAAAATGATAAAATATATCTTTGAAGATAAAAAGATACGAATAAAATTACAATGAAATCTTCATGTATTATCAAACATTTACTTTGTTCTATTTTACAGTATCTTTCGACTATACTCTCCTATTTCACAACACTGCGTGTAATGATGGACGATGGATAAATAAAAGTAAACTGAGTATTGTATACAAATGAAATATACTTGAAATGACAATTTTAAGTCATTAAAAAAAGTTCTTGTAAGTATTGCGTTTTTGTTAAAATAGTCAATGTCTTGAATAGTTGTAAAAGTTGTAAAAGTACAATTATTTTACCAGTAAACTGTCATAATTAGTTTGATTTGGCGATGATAGATTTAAGGGGTAATGCCACTCTAGCGCCCGGAAAAACAACCTAATTTTTACAATTTTTTATGGGAATATAATGAGTGCAATACAAAATCCGTTTAAAGGCCTTTTTTGCACATACTTCGAAGTGTAATTATAAATTTTTATAGATTTTTTTCTTATAAAATGGCGGCACCAGAGCTCAGCAAAGAAAGCCTCTTCTCACAGATAGTGTTCCACGACCGGAAACATACCTCCTCCAATTTTTGACCTGGAACAAAAAATAAAAAATTTTTGAGTTTTATATAAGATTAGCTCGGGAAGTACGTAGGGAAATTAAAAAATACCGTGTTTTGTAAAACTGACGCACGTTTGAACAAAAAGTTTCGTATTTAGGTAAAATATTGCGTGAAAAATCGTTTATAACAAAAAAAGTTTACAATGAAACGTAAAATCTCTAGATAATGTCATTGTGAAGCTACAGTTAAATTTTCAAGTAGATTGATCGTACAGTTATGCAGTTATGTTTCCGGCAATTTTGAAAAATGCAGTTTTGAGAAAAACGCGTTTAAAGTTTTATGTAGCATTATCGATAGAAATTTTTTATTTACCTCTAGTCTGCGATGCCTGCACCATTGGCCTTCTAAATTTATGTTTTTCTCCTCTTCTTCTTTTCTGGTTGATGTTGAAGACAGCTGAGCCTCTTTTGCAGCATCAGTCAGCGATCGTTCCGAAAACTTAATGCGGCGCGCGTCAGCTTCCATGCAAAAATTATAGCAGTTCTGCCCGATTGTTATGCCTAATTCCTCCATAATCTTCATTATGCTTAATAAGCCATCGTTGTAGATACATACAGCTATATTTGCTGAAATATCCAGAATTACTTTACCACTTGAAACAGATTTCGGAGCCAACGACCAGACCGTTGCATTGAAACTTTCATTGCTATTTTGAGTAAAGCCGCCTATGCAGCGACTAAGGAGATCGTTTCTGCTTAGTTCCTCGTATATTGGCCTTATTGCATCGAAAATATGTTGCTGAAGAGCTGGCTTATGCGAATATTCGTGTAAAGTATTGGTGGCTTTCGCTTTCTGCCACGAACACCACGAATTTTCACCAGGCGGGCATTTCTCGTACTGCGGCTTATCATCGGTCGAAAGCTTATGATATAGTGTCGCCCAGATTTCGTTGTTCATTTGTTCAATAGAACTATGATTTCGACGAATAGCTAGTCCGTAGTATATCGAAAGTTCGTCTATAAGCTTCCCGGTTAATTTGTTTTTTCCTCCGAGACCTTTGGTAGTTTTTTTTCAAATTGCGAAGACAAGTGCCCATTCGTTTCTATACGTGATCTATACATTCTTTTTTATTTACTGTGAAAGTTTCATATGGTTGTACATCTAAAATACTTTTGAAGGTCTTCGAATCCCCAATATAATTTGCATATTTCACAAAATGTAGGGTTTCTGAGCGCTGAAACATTTCAATAACAGCATCCACTTCCATTTTGCCGGCGGATCCCTCGTGATTCGCTTGACATTCTTGTGCGTGAGTTTCTAACCATTCTCCATACTCTGCAGTGTCAATTTTTTTATTCCAAAACTCGCAAACTTTACAGTATTTAGATTTCACAACAATATCAACAACTTTTCCAGTAAACCATCCGATAAGCGACACCAATCCATAAAGAGATGTTTAAATAATGCCGCTCAGAGCAATCGAGATCTCGAAAGACTCAAGACCAATCGTGGCGCGTAAGACGAATGAAGGCTGATGGCAGACAACTATCCGTAAGCGCTTACGGACTTACGTTTTTCTCTGCCTTACCTTAACCCCTGGTCCACAATCTTGCTTTAAGTAAGCTGTAAACTTTAAGCCGCAAGAAATTAACCAATCACAGGTGAGAGTGAGGGTAATAAATGCCCGTGATTGGTTCGTTTCTTACGGCTTGAGGCTTACAGCTTACTTAAAGCAAGATTGTGGACCAGGGGTAAGTCTACGGCTTACGTAAGTCCGTAAGCGCTTACGGATAGTTGTCTGC